AGTTGACGTGCCTTGTTGTAGGACTCATACAGGTTTTCAAAGTCTTTGTGCCGAGAGTCATGAGGTGGAGGGCTTCTTGATCTTCCTCGGCCACTTGGATCTTGGTCTTCTTTTGTTTCTACTTCAACTGCTGCCGTGCTGGCTGCTGCTGTCTTGTGTTCTGCTGCTGCCGCAGTGTGCTGAGGTTCTGTTGTCACTTCTTCTTCGGCTTGAGGTTCTGACATTGGAACTTCTGGACTCTCTGGTGGTACCAGAGGAGGGACAGAAGTTTCAGCCTTTGTCTCTGGTGGTACCAGAGAAGGGACAGAAGTTTCAGCCTTTGCATTCGAAAAGGTGGGATCCCCTGCAAGATCAAGAAAACGCACAGGACCCTGCACAGGGGTCAGAGCTTGTCGAACTCGATGAACCAAACTGTTCGAAACAGCTGTGTCAGGTTGCGTTTCCAGGCGATGAACTCTTTCTCGAGCCACCTCGGCACGAATATGCTCACTTGCAACACGCACCAAACTGGAGCCATGAGCAACCCAGTAAACAGAAGCTCGGATGCGGCCGTCATCGTTCTTGCGGGGCTCTATGGCGCAGACCAATGCAGGGCCACGCCAGCGAGTAGGGTCAAGTTTGTTTTCCCCCTGTCTCCAGTAGTAGATCCAATCGCCAAGGCTGGCGGCCACATGTTCAGACCGTGGCCGGGCAAGAAGTGCACGTTTGAGCAGCTGGTTGTTGTTGGCTTCATAAAATGCTTTGGCTGCTGAGTACCGAAGTGCTTGATCTTTTTGGTGCTGTTCCGTGTCATCGAGCGGTTTGGACAAGTGCGGTTCATCACAAAGACCGTTCGATTGAGGATTGTGTCCAAAAACGATTTGGTATGGTGAGCTACCATGCACTGAACGAAGGCGGTTTCGTTGATGACAAGCAACTGGAACAGCTTCTTCAAGGAGCACATTCGGTTCATCCTGTTGCATCTTGAGCAGCTGCATTCTTCTCACTGCGTGGAGTCTTTCCACTGATCCCATTCTATAGTGAGCTTCTTTGGGTACGAGGATCAGCTTGATGTTGTATTGGTCGAAGAAGTCCAGATACTTCTGACTCATGTGTGCTCCTGACTGGTCTGTTCGGAATCGTTCTGGAGGACCAAAAGTCTGAATCCATTGTTCACGAAGTATCTTCAGTTCAACTTCTTCAGTTTCTCTCTCCAACACAGCATTGATTTCGTACTTGGAGTAGATGTCGAGGATGGCCAAAACCTTTCGCTTTTCTCCATTCCAGCGGATGTGAAAAACATCGGCTTCCAAACATTCATTGAAGTGGCTGGCCTGAGGCAATGAAGCTGGTTTCTCCAATTTCCTTTGTGCCTGTTGCTCACATACTTCACATTTGTAGTCTTTTGCACATCGGATCAGAGACTCGTCCATACCTGCATCTTTGAGCGTTTTGATCATCCGATCTACACCTGGATGTCCAAGTTGCTTGTGCAGTTTGCTGATGACTTGTAGGTTCTGCTTGCTGTGGGTCTTCATCAGCTTCTTCTCTTCCTCAGTGATGTTGGATGCATTCTTTACTTTGTTTTTCTCATCCTGCTCTTCAACCATATAGATCTTGGCTATCTCTCTTTGTCGCCATCGTTCTTCCATCTCCTGATAGATGGCATTTGCTGCTCGTTTCACGAAACCTCTTTCGTAGTTTTGCATTTTCTTCAGGCTTTCTGCTTTTCCATCCATAGCAACATGCTCTCCAGGAAGACATTCACATGGAAGGTCAAGTGCTTCAAAGACCATTTGGCTGTTTGTGCGAATCCTCGTAGGTTTCTTGACCTTTCCGACATAGTTTCCCATGCGATCATAGTAGCACAAGCCGGTCCTGCATCGGTTGCAGATTGCATCATAACCATCCATGGACTCCAAGGTTTTCGTCTTCCATGACATAGCCAAATGAGGATGCTCCATGGCCATGCCGGCATTGATCTCCCAGTTGCAGATGTCGGTGACATCCAAAACCAGTTTCAAATGTTGCTTTTCTTCTTGCTTTTGCAATTCCAGGATGTAGGCTAGCTTTTCGGCCTTGATCATGTTGAGCCTTTGCATTGGTGACCATTTCGTACACGGTGGTGCACACCAGATGAAGTGAGGCTTTTGTTCTCTCACCAACTTAAGGAATGCTTTTCGGTCATTTTCTTTTTCAAAGTCCCAGTGAGGTAGGCTGAAAGTAGCGACCTCACAGTCTGGAAAGCGTTTCAACAGTTCTGTAGCCAGGTTGCCTTCATCCACATAGACCTCAAAGAAGATCAATTTTCTTTCTTGTTGAAGGCGCTGCAAAACTTGTTGAGAAATCTCTTCAACTTCATTTGCTTCGGATTCCATGAGGATCTGCTCTGCAATGTCAGACGGTTCTGTCTCACAGGGCGGTTCAATTTCCAGTGGACTTGTCGAGATCAAGACCTCTTCTTCCGTGATGTAGTTCATCTCTTGTTCGTCTTCATGATATTCCAACAAGTTCAAGACATAGTGGCCTTTTTGTCCACGACTTGGTTGAAACCATTCGGATTGAGCCACCTTCATGTTGCCACTGGCGTAGTCTTGTTTCACCCCCCATTGTTCCAGCACAGGTCTCGCCAACAGGAAGGGAGTGTGCCCAGGTACCACTGAAACCGTGATGGGCAACTTTTGACCTTTCACCAAGGCGTTGAAGGAGATTTCGTAGTTGGATTCAAGCATCTCTCCGCCGCCGAACTTGAAGGATCGCTTTTGTGCCTGAGTACGGAGAGATCCAAGTAGGCCTTCATCATAGTGCTCGATCCATTCTTTCCACACTTCTTCTCCGACCAATGTTCTGGTTGCACCTGAATCCACAATTGCATGAACAGGAGCAAGGGTGGCAAAGAAGATGTCCTCTTGAAAGCACTCTTCCGCTAGTTCCTCCACCATGGTCACTTCTTCACCTCCAACTTCTTTGACACCTTGTGCTTGCACTCGGTATCGTTTGAACCTCGGTCCATGAGAAGAATTTGAACCGGTCAGGGTCGATCTCAACTCGGAGGAGGTAGTAGTCGACGATGATGGTGGCTTTCGAAGACCATGCATTGGGCGTCGAGGAAACATGCTTTTTCCTTTGCCTTTTCCTTTTCCTTTTCCTTTACTCTTTCCTTTGCCCTTTGAGCTTCCCTTTCTTTCGCTTTTGCCTCCTTTGCCATGATCGAAGTCAGGACCAATGGCTACGACGGGATAGAAGCCACGAGCCAAGGCAAGTTCTTTCATTCTTTTTCTTGATTCCAAGTAGGAGATGTAGGCTTCATCCATGTTTTCGTATGCTTCTTCAAGCTCCTCAGGGATTTCTTCTTCATCTTCATCACCTTCATAGTAGATTTCATGCCAATCATCTTCTTCTTCTCCTTCGTAGTAGAACTCCTCATCATAGTCTTCCTCGTAGAAGAACTCATCTTTGGATGACTTGGCCACAGGTCCAATGTCCTTGGTGTTTGGTTTGTGATCTCCACCAAACATTCGAAGCAAAGCTCGTTGGACCTCTTCATAGTCAAGCTCGCCTTTGCACAATGCTTTCACTTGCATGTGTGTCCATTTTGGAGTTCCACTTCGGGTCAACAAGTGCCATCCAGCAAGAAGTGGTGGGATGTCGATCTTGACCTCTCGAAGTTTCTTCAAAGCAGTGCGGTGGCGAATGAGATATGCCTGCATTTCTTCTCCCTTCTGACGATTGAAGCTTTGAAAGAACTCTTCACACCGATATGGAACCTCAATTTGTTCTTCATATTGAAATAGCTGGTCCATCATGGTGAACAAAGGTGCGAACGGATTTGTTCCACTTGTGATTTCTTTCAAATCTATTTGTTCTGCTGCATCCCAAACAGTGTCCTTGAGGAGGCTGATGACCAAAAGAGCACCTTCAATCTCAGCGTCCGTTGAGCGTCGACGACACTGCAGGGCATACAATTCCAATCGTCTTCTGTAGCTGCGATAGCCACTTTGCGTTAGCCCCTCGGCCGATGGTGCGGCCTTTGCCAAGCCACTATCCAATCCACGATAGTTATTGGATCCAGAGGAAGGAGTTCCTGGACTAGCTCCATTCGCTGCACGTGGAGGAGAAGGAGGTATGGGGACATCAACTGGTTGTTCACCTTCTGGTCTATCTCGTTGTCTTCTTTGCTGACCACTCATTTGTGACTGCCTTGCTGAACGTGATCTTTAAGATGATCTAATTCTCACCGGCCAGGATTACCCTATAGGCGTCTTCAAACAAAAAGTTCACCCTGGTCAAATTCCGGGAGGATCGTCTTGGGCTCCGCTACCAATCTCGAAGTACTTGAACTCACGAAGTTCCAAGCAACCAAAGAAAAAGAACTCGAAGGCCGCGATGCGTCCTTTCTCACGATGCCAACGGGTGGCGAAGGTCGTCGCCGAACGTGACTCAAGGGCCCTTCGGCCGGATTTGAGAATTGAAATTCGATTGCGGTGTGACTCGAATGTCATCTATCCGCTCTCATCATGAAATGCATTGCAAAATGGAAAACAAATCTCACATGTGCATTCGCAACATTGACACACTTTAAATGTTCAAACATGTGCTCTCGAAATGTTCAAAAAGATTCTTAGGAAAACAAACTTGCCCCATGGCTCAGATCATCGGTGAGCATTGAATCAGAACATCATAGGATTTGAACTATCCTGAAACCATAAGAGGCTCACGAAGACGCTCCCCAGGAGAGAATTGACGCGCTTCACAGAACACCTTTCGTGATTAGAATTTCATATTCACTCTTTCTGAATGTTCAAGAGGGTTTCAACTATCCTGAAATCATGAGAGGCTCACGAAGACGATCTCCAGGAGAGAATTGATTTTAGAGGGGGGGAGGGGGGGGGGGGGGGTCTGAATTGAGCGATCAATTATTAGACCCGGACGTCCCAACACTTGCTTCGCAAGACAAACTCAAGGTATCCCCTAAAGGGCTACCTTTCGTGAAAACGCTCGCGGAAGACTCAGGCAGAAGGCTACTTTGGCTTCTTCTCTTTGTCCTTGTTCTGTTTGTCCACGTCGATGAATTGGATGATCAAGGTCGCGTTGAAGATGCAATTGTAGAGCAAAGCCTTCATCCCCGCACAGGAGGCACCCTGACCAAAGCTCATCCACAAAGTCTTGCCCAACAGACCAAAACTGGTGGCGAACTGCAAGATTTGCAGCTTGGTAATCCACTTCTTCCATGGCGTAGGACGTTTTAAGATCTTCATCGCATAGTAGTGATACATAATCACCTCATTCTCACTGTAAAACACGAGCTGTTGCTTCAGGAATTAGTCACCCACCCAACTCTTTTTCCAACGACCGGCATCCTACCAACAAAAAGCTCACAGCATCACGCTTGTACAACTAATCCTTTCGGCCACCTGTATTCTTGAGGAATGCACCATACATTATCATATGAGGATGCTGGGGGGGTGTTAAGGCCGGTGTTGGATTTGTAAGGACATTGGACTTTGACCACCCACCGCTCTTAAATATTCGAGGCTAACAAGGCAAAACAGCCAGAGCTCCCTCTTCAGGGAACCTAAACAGGGTGATGCGTTGCTTTTCGAACCTCGTCGCGAGATGTATATGTTCCACACGAAAGCTGGAACATGGATCAGTGAGGAAGTGGATGCTCTGGTGTCTGGAAAACCTTGCCATATATATGTGTCCCTACAAGTCCAAAGACCCAGTAAAATCTTGCCTTTTACATCCTTAAGTAGTGTTCTGGTATGACCGCGACCAGTAAAATGAGGTCATTGACTGCAGGACGTGGTTCACTATTTTCATGTGCATGGGAGTTTCTCTTAAATCCAAACTTTGTCAAAAAGAGCTAGTTCTTGCCCAAACGGTCGACCTGAATTCTCCCGGTCTCACACAACGGATATTGGTTTGTTCTCTTCTCCCGGGCCACATGCACCAAGGTGTTGAAGAGTAGTCCTCCCCACTGTAGTGATTGCTGACATTCGCACCAAAGCCAGGCCATTGGAACCACCGCCGCATGATGATAGACCTGCAGCAGCACGCAGGACTCGCGCGTCGCGGCTGGCCCACTGACCCCCCGGTTACCGTCACCTTTTTCCACCGGTTCGGGGTTAGTGGAGGAAAAACCACCCCAAAAAATGGTTTCAAGGTTATCCACTGATTGCACCAGTTTTCCGCATCCCCAGAAGATATTTCTACACTTCGAATTCTGTTTTGTGGTTGCGATAGGTTGCAATCGATTAGGACCATTCAGAAAAAGTAAAACAAAACAATCCCCTCATCGGCCGTGATCTGCTACTTGACCAGCACCTGATTTGCTCCGGGTCACCTGGCTGGTTTCGCCCCGAGCTCACTACTCCATTGAACCCTTTGAAGGTCCAGGTAACCTGATCCCTAGGCATCCAGTCGTACCGAACCTCAGCTTCGGTGGATGTGTTCGACACCGTTATGTAGACCGGTGCCAGGAGGGTACCGGTCAATACCTCACCTGAGGTTCGGTACGGATCCCTACCTGACCAGCTACGCCATCTACGCCTGGCGTGGGCCCATTGGAAGGTCTTCCGACCGCCCAATGACTCCCAACATCTCCCCGGACCGGCCGAACGGTCCCGGCCGAACGACCCGGCTCCGGAGCCGGTCGTGGCGCCGTCCGCCGGTCGGGAACCCGCCGGACGGGAATCGCCGGACCGCGCGCGCGCCTGGAGTTTGAAGTGGGGCACGCGGCTCTTCTGCAACAACACCAGCACCTGAACGGCGAAGCGCACCATGAGGTGACATGAGGCGACGTGCTTCTTGGTTCGAACGCGGCTGGACGTGCTTCTCTGGACTCCACCTGGTGGAGCTTCTGAGGGAGAGAATCGACCCGGCTGGATTCATCCAGCTGGAGAATCCACCTGGAGGAGCTTCTGTCGTCTAAACAGTTGGGTTTCTCAATCATGAGATTGTTCAATCAACATGCCTCTGAAAACTGAGTCGCATCCACTGACGAATGACTGTTTGATTCACCGGCAGAGTTGCGCATCAAGCGCATGGAATTCCCACAACTTGTGGGTGGGGAGAGGGCGGGCTGGCTGGCGGGTGAGAAGAACTTGTATTAGACTGTCTTTGACTGCGCTGGTGCAGTCTAAGACTTACCGACTGAGCAGCACACCTCCTCAAAAAACGCACGAATCAACTCTTATCACAGGTTCCCATATAGTTATTAATGCAAATAAACATGTCCTTTCTTTCAGAAGAAATCAACTTACTGGCAAACCCTGGCGCAGTGTCCAGCATCTCATAGTACTTGCTCAAGTAGTACACATAAGACCAGAAGTACAGTGGCCCAACGGCCAGTGCCTTTGGATCTTCACAAAAGAACCACTGAAAGTCGTGGGATGTAGACCATCTGCGCAAGAGCTCAAGCACCGTGCCCAGGAACATCACCTGCATTCGTTGAACCGATGGTGTTCGGAGTTCCCGACAAAATAGCAAAAAGAAACATCATAGCGTTCTATGACATGCTTTGGAAGGGATTCCTGTGCTTGGGATCTTCTATATTGGGATACCATGGATGACTCGATGACGAGTTCATTCAACAAAACTGTTTGTCCAGCTGTTCACATTGTGCTCACGTTGTGTTTACGACATTTCCCGACTTTTCGCCAAACCGAGTTTGGTGTGATGCTGGACACATGGCCCGGCCACCGGTCCAAAACATGCCAAAACGGGAGTGGCCCAGAAGCTCACTTTGGAACATGAACAAAACAGTTGGTTGAAGGAAGAGAACCGTTGGGGTTGAACATGCTTCAAGTAACATAGCAACCCACAAGCTGTCACAAGCTACTAGACAACATGTATGCTTCTTCCGGAACCGATTTTTCGTCAAGGACGGTCCCCCTGCTCCTGCCTTCCCCTTGTAAACAGGCGTTTTCGGAACCAACGGTGATGCACATCATCAATTGCGTTGTATTAGTAGCATCAATATATCATCAATATCATGTTTGGGATTGATATCATATGACATCCGACAAAATATCACTATAATTAATAAAATTTCCAATATCATGTTCGGAAAATGACTGTCATCCCCTGTGCCGTCCCTAGTGCCACCATTCGGGGGACTTTCCAATAGTTTTGTGAAGAGGGCAGAAAGTCGAAACTCAAAATCCGTTCTTGTTGGGGTCTCGCCAGGCAGAACATTCGAGACTGAAAAGGGGTCTCGCATGCTCGCCCCCCCAACTTCAAAATCCAGGACAGTCATAGTCTTGGACAAACCGTTGCATCTCATCTGTTTTTCCCTGAGCTTGTTCGGTCACCTTTTGACACTCCGTTCAAGCACAACCAACAACCAACCAGTTGAAGTTGAGGAGTCATGACATCTTGACTTTTGGAAGAAAACCACCCATGCCGTTGGAACCTCGCAAAAATCACCAAAGAAGCCCAGTGACGAGTGAGCTGATGGATAAGAGCAAGTTGTGATAGACAGTCACTTGTTGAAGGTCGAATGGCTTGGAATTCTTCATCAGAAGGCCTTGACCACGGTCAGGGCTATACAAGCAAGTGCCGCAAAGTCCCAAACGGCCCGAGTTGAAGGCGCATACTGTAGAACCCGGTTCTTTCCACTAATGGAGGATAAGAAAAGCAAACATAAGTGAAGTATCCTGCCTGCAATGTTTCCTATAGTTACTCAAGTTTGGTTTGGGACAAATTGTCAATATCCTGGCTACTGTCGAAACCTACCTTTAGCAACAAAAAAGAACGCTGTACCGCAATCATTCATGACATGACATCTTCCGTATGCGGACCTGGCTGTTGACAACTCAGCCCTGTATCCCCTAAGTTCGAAGAAACACCAAGCCCAGTAGCCCAGTGCAAAGACCACAGCCAAATAGATACAAACTCCTCCAGCTGGCCATCGCCAATCGGATGCCACTGCGGTGTCCCAGCGGAAATCTTCGTAGCCCACCAACATGAGCATCGACCGTCCCCGGACGTCTGCGCCGAAATCGGGGGCGGTCGGAAGGCCCGGGAATTCAAGGCCGGCCAGGCTGAAAAGCTGGGTTCAGTTCTGATTTGAATTCGTGTGTGAATAGGATGACAAACCAAAAGGAAAGGCGTGGACATGCGGAAAACTGAATTCTTCAGCATATGCAAGGGCTAGCTAGCTTCTGAGTTTTGACCACATGTGCGAAAGATCTTGAGTCAATGTATATAGTTGTTTGAACTGAATCACTTCAAGCAATGCTTCTGCCGCAGTGGAAGTACTCACCTGTGTGCCTTTGAATATCTTGGCCGTATCCAAAACATTCTTTTTTGGACCGACAGTCAGGTCGAAGACCTGGAATGACTTGAACAGCTGCGGTTTCAAGCTTGGAGCAAAGCAGGCTGATCAAATGCTCAAGATCTGCCAAAGCAGAAAAAACCATAACAAATGATCAACCCGGTCTTCTCGGCACGCCGAAAGAACTTCCGCTCCATGACACTGGGCGGACTGACCCAGTCTGCGCCGGATGATCTCCCCCCAGGCCAAACCCAAAGCATCACCACATCAGATGTCTCAAACGCTCATTGGGTGTGTAGCTCAAATAGGGAGACCTCCCAGGCAACAAACCCCTTGAGTTCGGTTCGGAAATGGACCAGTCTACCAGCCTCCCGGTCTACACCGTTGAGCCTGCCATGGAGAGTGGACACCAGCGAACCCACCCCCAAAATCCAAACTGATGGACCAGGAGTCACAAGATGGGGTGCGATCCATGGAGGTTAGGGGTGCCCATGATCCAATCACTTGGTGACTAAACACCACCCCTTTGTGACTCCTGGGACTTGTGCTTTTTCCACGGACCCAAACTCCAAGAATACGACATTCGACGCCATGGGGTGCTGAATTTTCACGTGCGCTCACATGTGATGGAGCTAATGAGGTGGTCATGGCAGAGTCCATGTCTATTTCCCACTGGTGGAAGGACGAACTGACTGCATCTGCTAAGCTTCCCTGCCACGGCAGCCGGGGAAAGACCCGGCTAAGCACGGACGCCTTCAGAAAAATCGCAACAAGCATCTCATGATTTTTGGGAGAGATAGTCCTCATTATGTTCAAAGACGTCAAAAAGAAATTGAACCTCTGACTGACCACCGTGAGCGAACACATTGTTTGAGCTTGAGTGGAGAAGACCTTGATTGACCTCGAGTGGAAAAAGCCTCCTATGTTCTATCATCTGATTAGACTCTCTTCTGATTGACCATAGATGTGTTGGACAGGCTGAACACCTTGATTGACTTTAAGTCGAGTCCACCATAAACGCTTGGGTTGCCTTCTTACGGTTTTACCAATTGAAGTTGGAGCTCTCCCAGTTAGATTCCAATCCCTCCGACTCCTACTGGATGGGGTTGGACTGTGTTCCTCACCATGTCACACCGATAGGATCACCTAGTCATCAAACCATCCCCAAACCATCCCCAAACCATCCATGGGACTGGAATAATTACCCACATGAATGGTAAATGAGACGGTCAATGACAGTATAAATGTAACTAATGTCAGTCCCATGGAAGGCTTGGGATCTATATTTCTTTGTCTGCTGCCATGGTCGCAGCTCTGCTTGGCACACAGCGCTGACAGTCCCTCGGTCGCTGCAAAGCTCCATCCACGGTGGCACCTCCACGTGCGACGATGGAGGCGTATTTTTCAATCGCGGGGCTCAACATCGTCGTGCTCTGATGACAGGCCTCAGCGATGACACGCGAGCTCGTGATGAAGCATATATTCTGGTATGGATTCGTGGTATGGACTTGACCACTTGCATCCGCTTGCTTGTTTGATGTGGTTCTTAGTTCCTCTTTTTGTCATATCAGTAGATCCAGGAGACACAAGAGACAAGAGATCTGCAAAGGAAGAGACATGTCACCAAACGTCAAAAAAAAACACATCACATCAAGTCTCGAGTTTCTCATTTCCTCTTGTAGTGCTGCAATTTCAGAAATGATCACCTACAAAATTGTGGACACAACCAAAAGCCAGACAAATCGTGTGGATTTTGTCCAAGTCATTGAAATTCAGGACGAGTAAGCAGCACTTTGCAGGGTTTTGCATCCTGAAGTTCTCCGTTTTCCAGGAAATAAAGGATTTGTCTTTTTCCACGGATTTGAGTGGGCAAAAAACACACCGCCGACTGGGTAGGTTCTGCTCCAAACGTATCAGGTCGCTTCTTGATGTTTCGTGGCCAGGTTCGCGGCCAAGCTGGGTGTGGATGCAATCCGCCTCCGGCCCGGGTGAGGTGCGTGGAGTGTGCGAGAGTGTGCGATCGTACTCCTCTTGGTGAACATGATTCAGTGGGAAATCACGAAGCAACTCTACCTTCTCAGTTCTTTTTTTCCACAAAAATTGAAAAGTAAGATGTGTGTTGGGTTGAACACCAATGATTAGGGAGTTTACTTGGGCACCTGACCCCAATTCCCAGAACTTGTTGAAGGAACCAAGAAACAAAAGCCCTTTAACTTTCATTCAGAACCTCAAATATAGACTAGTTAATCAGCCTCATTGCAAATAACCGCTTTCTGCAAATGTCCCTTGTTCTGGTTCAAATGTAGTATATGTTGCATGGTTCTGGTGGTGTTTGTTGGGTACACTTGGGTCACAGGTGCTGGCCAGGTCCGCGCTGACCTTCCAAGAAACAATAATCCTTAAACAAACACAACAAATACATAAACCCCTGGAAGTCCAATACTATCTTAAACCTGGGCGTTGGATGACCCGTGTTCAGGAATTTCCTTTACTTGGGTGGTACCCTAAATAGTCCTTGGACTTCTAGGGTTTACATCAACACCATCAACTAAACACACCCGATGCTCCTTGCCACCACCCCCGATGCTCCTGGCAACCTCTGCGGCAGAGGACTGGGTCTCCTCCTCTCCTGACACCGCAGTGACCGAGAGAGACGAGAGTCGTCTCAGCCGCCCGCCGACCGACCCGCTCAACCCCTCGGTTTCTAAACCAGTCAAGACATGACTGCACAGGGCCAGTCAGGAGCTAGTCATGGCTTCAGGTCCAGTGCGGCCAGTGCCAGCCCGGAAGCGACTCGTTTTCGGATCGATAGGGACCGCCGCCGAAACAAAGAGGCGCCGGCCACGCACGTGAAAGCGGCAAAGGGACCTCGTTGGCACTGATGGATCACACCGTACTCCAACATGGTCAGGGCACTCACCTCAGCTGTAGTGGGTGGTGAGTGCATGGGCCATGGATTTGGGCCGTGGATTGGGTGAAACGATCCAGCAATTTCTCTACAGTGATGTTCTGAAAATTCTGGGGATGCATATGGACAGTTCAACAGTTGAGAGACATTTTTCGCAGGTCCCTATGCCTCAAGTCATTTCAGGTTTGCCAAGTGGTCTTCCGGACCAAGTTGTGCAATTAAGCACCTGACATCTTGCACACCCAGAAAATTCAGGTCAATGACTTTGCTTTGACGGCCTGTCACCATACACAAAGGAGAATTCACCTGAATTCACGCCCAAAAGCGTGGCAAATTCGTAAGTCCCATGTAAATCCCTCACCTCCAACGACATCGCAATCCCAAAAACTCCAAAGACACCTGTCTCGCAACTGCCCGCTGGTCAGTCTCGCGCTTCCGACCCGGCGGTATCTGGGCGCTTCGGACAGGGCCCTGGTTGTAGCAGAGCTGCATGGCCACCTGCAGAGCGTTCGCGCCCCAGGAGCGCTCTGAGAAGCCACGCGGAGCGACGGATTCAGGGCGGAAGACGGAAGACGCGCTCGACGACGAAGCGGGTAAGAAGGTCGAGACAGGTAGCAGGTCGACAGATCTGTTCGTTCGCATGTTCGACTGTGCAGATGGCAGGCATTTTGATTTCGGCTGTTAAGATATGTTAAGAGTGGTCATATATAATGATGCAACGACCAGATGCGGCGGTGGGGACCCCTCTTGGTTTCCCGTGTCAGTCATCCCAGAAAATGCCACAGATATTGCTGCATCCACTCTTGCTGAAACAGCCTTGTTCCCATAGTCAGCTTTGTTTAATCACCCACATATGAAAGGACATGATGACGGGAATGGATACTCTGTGGATATTGCTTCGATGCGAAGTCTCAATTGACTCAACTCATATCTATCTATCAATATATATATCTATCTATCTATCCATCTATCCATCTATCTATCTATTGTCTATATCTATGAATGTCTCATATATGTCTGAACCTAAGAGCTCAAAGCATCTTCTTTACGGACTGGATCTCTTTGGGCCCCCGGGCGGTGTGGCCTACCAAATCGCCGAAGCACTCCGGAGGGCCCCAGATGGGCAAGATGAAGGTGGACGTCGAGGCGGCCTCCGCTTCGTGAAGTCCCGAGCGGCAGCTCCGTCCGTCCGGCGGCTCTCCCAGCTCTCCGCTCTGTCCCCCCCCCGCGAAGGTTTATGCACCTCATTTTGGTATAAACCATTCCGGGCGAGGAGTTTCGACTTGTAGAGTCTTATTGAGGACACTGGACATATTCCAGAAACTGTGACCTGATTGGGAAAAACGTCCCAATCAGGCAAAAGCAAAGCTCCCTCCTTTTCAGATCTCTTAGCTGCCAAAGCTGTGTCACGTCTGCCGCTTCTCTAAGCTCCCGGACAATGCGATAGTCCTGCGGTTCGGGATGTGGATGAAACCCACTCTTCAGCCGTTCAGCCGATGATATTGATTTGCACCAAGGCTAGGCTAGGAAGGCTAGACTGCGGAAAGACCTGCAGCCGGCTGCAGTCTAGCGATTGTCAGTTGATTTGCACCCTGACTTGATCATTTCAACTCCAACTGCTTACACAGGACATGTCGAAGTCACCAAAACGGTCGCAGAACGTCACCAGTCCGTGCGGAGGTCCCAGCTGGATCAGGCGCAGGGTCCCAGTACGTTTGGTCTATGTCAGTGCCGGGCCGCACTGGGAGGCGCACGATCAACTGCTTTCAACAATGGAATTGAACCTACTAGTGATCCTTGTCTGGATCTGATCGCGATGCTGATGTCGACGGGAACATGTCGACATACAAAACAAAGCACTCCTACAAACAGCACACCTCCACGAATCATCCCTGTGAGGTTTGATGACACACCTGAAGCTTTGTACTCGTCGCATCATCTATCACATCAAAAGAACTGTCAAAAACCCATTGAAGAAGAAACAAATACACTACATTCAATGAAGCTAATTAAGCAAAACGCACATCCACATCCGCTTGAAACCCATCCATCCGTCAAAAAAGAACAAAAAAACAAACACTGACAGTAGCAGAATCATTCTCTAGGTCCATGTTCTCCGCATTTCTCCAATTCCGTCCGCAGAAAAAACAAACAAAATCTGTCCGCAGCCAAGACCAATCCCCAGGCAGGGCCAGCGATCTTTCCCACACATGCAACCACCTCAGTTAAATCGATCCACACCGAAAGTCGCCGTGGCGGCTCAGTGCGAAAGCTGGCAGCGACCACTACGCTCTACCCATGTGTACATGGGTGACTTGCATCCCAAGAGTTGGGTCACGGGACGTGTAGGGGAAGCAAGACTGGACATGCAGTTTTTGTTTTTTGGGGTCAGCTAAGTCGGCTGTGATAGTAATCCGTGCTTTGGTCGCCGGTGGTTGCAAATTGCTGGAGCTCAAAAACATCTTCGAAAGGGAGTTTTGGTGTCTTGATGGAGATCAATAGCTCTATAGCTACAGAGGGTGCGTAGTACAGCGCTTGCTGGCTTCCTTCCCAACCAAAAATGCAAAAACATGCAAAAACTGTCGTGTTGAACACCGCACGATGTTTTTGGTCTTTAAGCAGAACCCCCCTGTCCAGGGTTTTTCCTCTCCCTTGCTCATCTTTCGCCGTTGTACGGTCTCGTCTTGCAAGATTGCACGAGGGGCACAAACAAGATTGACAAGGCCTATTGCAAAGAGATTGAACAAGAACTTAGCCATCGCAAACCAAAGCACATTTAAAAACTGGGGATGCTCACCAAATAGCAGGGCCCAATAAAATTGGAATATGTGCTTCGATCCCGCCCAATCTCGCAAGCGCTATTGGAATTCAATCACGCGTCGAGTCATTCGCGGTGACTCGATGACGTCGTTGCCCAAATTCATCACTCGACAAGAGTCGTTGCTTGCAAAGGACGCCTCTTCCAGTTTGATCTCTCGACATAAAGGCTGATCATTCAATATCGATCCGATCATACCATATATGAACTGATTGAACAAGGTCCCCGCAAAGCTTCAAAAGGTCCCCTATAGGTTTCATCGCTCACCTGCGATCCGTCGCGAAATGGTGAAGTCGGAGCATCGGTGCTAAGGCTCGGACCATCGGTAAACCCAGAGTTCTTAGGCCCAGCAAGAAACTTCCACTGGCCAAGGCCTGGGCACGCGGGCCTAACGGTCGACTTGCTGGCGAGGAGGATGCGCGACTTGCTGAGACGAGAATACAGGTGGATTGAAGAAACAACTAAATTATGTAAAACATGATGAAAATAAAAGTGAACATATTTTTGGTTGTTTGTGTGGTGTGCCCAGTCTGCGCTGCAGGAGTTCTTCATGTTTCGTTCAGATATTTTTCTTAGTTGGGGGGACCGGGTTTTGGCATTGCCCTCCAATACCTGGAGAATGGATCATGAAACATCACCACACATAACACACACATTTTTGGATCACAAAAAATGTGCAAGAAACCCCACAAATCCATAAACATTTGAATTTTGCTTTGGGAACACACCGTGCGACACGATCTGCGCGTCATCCATGCAACACCATGCGACGCCGGCGCGCGCCAGGCGCCTGCGCCTGTGGCGTGGCGCTCAAGCCTCCAGCTGTTCCAGGATATCCAGCTGGGCTCACTGGCCCCTGGCAACAGGAGGCGAAAAGCCTCGCCTTCCCGGACCGGGGGGGGGTTGTGCACCGAAGCATCTACTGCTGAGCCGAGGCATTTCTGCCTGGGACTCTCTGAACGAAAGCTGGAAACACATTACATCAAATAGAAGTTTTGTGAGTCCATAAGACCGGTCGTCGTGAGGTAAGGAAAAGGCGAGCAGCCAGGCCATGAGTTTGCTTTCTCCGTCTACTGATTGGGTTTATTTTTGACGTGCCACCCATCGGCTCTGACGATGAATACCATAGAATCCTCCAGTGCAAAGCCCATGTTCAAAGGAACATACCTGCATCCTTACAGGAACAATCATGAATCATGATTCACAATATAAATCATAGAATCTCACCAAAAGAACGAACCTTCCAAGTGTCCCTTTGGGACTCCAGTGTAGTTCAAACGTGAGTCCGGCCACATCAGGGTCTTCGATCTTCCACGCAACAGGCACCGAATGTCACCCAACAACTAGGGAAGTCGAGGCATGGACCGCCCAAAAAGAACATAAAAGAACTCTGACACAGTTTAAGTCAGACACTTTTTTGATTCTCCAAAGTCTAAAGCATCACAAATCATAGCAGCCTTGACAAACATTGCTGCAAGCGCGAACGCTCTTTAGCCAGGCCCTTGCACATTTCAGCGCATAAGCGCTTGCCACAGGTGCGCAGATTCAACCCTTCCTTTTCCAATTCTTGCAGCACCCGGCCAGTCGCAAAGACATCCCACGAGTATGTCATGATGTCGCTGAATAGAACGCAGGACATGGGGCAATGATCACCAGGCGTGGAAACGGAGCTGTAATCAATCAAATACAATGTCTCTTCCGCCCACAGCGCAATTAATATTGTCAGGTTCTATGTCGTCATGCGCCAGGCCAATCGTATGTACAGACATAACAGCGGGCAGCAAGTCACACATAAAGCACTTTGCCTCCAGGAGCCCGGCTGGTTGAAGCCATGCGTCTCACGCGTGGGAGCGAGGACCACCCCCGGCCTTCAGCGGTCTCACCGAACCCAATCACTGGCGAAGCGCCAATCAAAAGCCCAAAGTACGACAAGTCTGCCAAAAGCTTGGATCCATGGTGTTTAAATTCTTTTTGGTGGCCGCAAAAAGTCTGCCAACGCGCTTGCTTGACCATGTCACCGAAGCCACTGGCAACTTCGTCGTCAAACTCCTCGACAAGGCGAATGTAGGCACCAGCAAACTCCTCACTTCATTGACTTCATTGGTGGGGCTGTAGCCTGACAACTGCAGTGCTTAGCGGCAAACCATGGAGGCTGCCATCATCACGCAGCCAGGTGGGTGGCCTCACACTTTGACTTTGGAGATGCAGCTTTTCTTAGAACAGCTTGGGCGCTTGCTCTCGGGGCTCCAGCTCACTTTGCACAGACGGAAGTGCAGTTTGTTGAGCCGTGTCTTGCCTGGCCCTCGTCGGAGGTCTGTCGCAGCTGCCAGACCCTGGACATTATATGCGCGCTCTTGGACTCATGGCAAAATTAGAAACAAAATTTGCTGTTTGCAGAGTTCTGCCTCATTGATGGAACCCGTGCTGCTTCGGCTTGAATGGAAACTTGGGATGCCCACGCTGGGCACACTTGGAAGCACAGAAGGCATAAGCCTCCAGAAAGTAGAAATTCGAAGATATGAGTGGCCGGGCCGTTTCCCTGCAAATCCACAAACCGTTCTTGTAGACGCAACTCATGAACTGGTTCGATTCAATGCTCTCACAGCTAATATAAACACGAGGGCCCATATACAAATATTGTGCGGCCTTCAAACTTGAGCCCCGCAGCCTAAACCAAAAATGTCAGCTGCAAATATATATTAGCCAACAGCAGCATACCTCAAAACCGCATCCCCGTCGCACTGCTGCCGGAACTCTTCGAAAAGGTTCTCACTAATCTGCAGAAAAAATGCTGTTGTCAACACACCATCCAAGAGAGGTTGAAAGACCATATAGATAGCCCTTGCGGCTGTTCGCCATATAGGCTAACTTGGTTACTCGTCCATGGGGACAAGAGAGCTCCGCCACCAGTAGCGCGTTGGAAAAACCGCTGGCTCCAACATTTCTCGCGCGAAAAAAACATTTGTCGGCTGGCAAGCAGGCGCCGGACTACTCCGAAGTGGTTCGAAAAGCCCTTTGCAGCGCTACCTTTCAGCGCCGCGAGCAGAAGTCCACACAAAAAGGTCGAGAACTACTTTACGCAACTTGTTTGCGCGTTGCCTTCAAGCGCTGTATATTTGGCGCGGCCGCTTTTGCAAAAGCCATGTTATGAATTTCACGTTTCCCGACCACCTCCCCCGTTATGAATTTCACGTTTCCCGACCACCTGGCCCGTTATGAATTTCATGTTTTCCGACCTCCTGGCCCGTTATGAATTTCATGTTTCCCGACCACCTCCCCCGTTAT